AAAGTATTTCCGCTTGAAAAATAACATGAGTGATTTTCCGTATTTTATCGTGTTAGAATCGAAATTACATCGGCCTGAGAGGTGTATATCGGCTATTTAACACCGGATTTGTCGTTTTGATGCGAAAAAATTAACCACTCAGGCCTACGGCCTTCGTGGTCAATTCCTACGCATCAAAACTCCAAACCGGTGTTAAATAGCCGATATACACCTCTCAGGCCGATGTTATTTCATAAATATATTTAATACATAATGAACATTAATTTTCTATGACCCCAAAGTGCGGTCGTTTGCCTGATGTTAGAAAATACATTATGTACCTGTTTAACGCACTTTGGGGTCAAAATTGGACCCCAAAGTGCGTAACGCACTCTGGGGTCGGACCCCAAAGTGCTTTTGACCCCAAAGTGCGGTGTTACATTCCCATGTATGTCAAGTCGCGTACATTGCCGCGCGCTTATAATAAATGAACTGCGTTCTTAGGATGACGTCATTTTACCGTTATAAATGAGGTCGTGAGTTCATACGCTACTTTAAAAAAGTGCGTGATTATAATATCAGTTTTCGCAATTTCTGTTCCGAAAATAATTAATGTGTAATATGCAAGAAAAAGAATCAAAACACTCGCTATCGGTACAAACGGGACTATCTAGCTCTTTGGTAACTGTTTAGCATGGTAGCTGATTTATGCCATGTCGTATTTTAGCTTCTTCGCCTCAAAATGTTTGATGCAAAAATAGAAAATGTAACAATGCGAAAAAGTGAAAATGCAACAATGTAACATTGCAAAAGAGCGAAAATACGACAGATGGTTCACAAATATACGACATATCTTGTGTCATATCTCCACCTTTCGTTCGTATTTTCGCTGTTTAGCTTCAAAAATCAGAAGAAAAAAAACGAAAACACGAAAAGACGACAAACTTTGTCATCCTTTTATGTTTTAACATTATGAGGTGAAGAAAGGAAAATACTACATGGCACACACCAGCCACCATAGTTTAGCGTTCACAGTTATCCTCGATCTAGATATTCCGGAAACGAGGTTTACACATAATTCTACCAGAAAGTCTTACATCTCTCACGGCCCCGTCCGACAACTATCTGCGCATGCGCAGAACATAAAGTCTTACGTTCCTCACGGGTCTTACAAAATTCACGCCACACCGGTATGTACCGCAGCCAGTTATAGCAGCCACATTATATAGGGAAATTAGACAGTAACCAGTTGGGCATACTTCTTGATCGGGAAACAAGGGGATTCCCCTTCAAGGCTTCCCGATCAGGCAACAAACGTCAAAATCCTTCCCGATCGGGAAGTTAATTGGCCTTTTTTTACGTAGTTCAGGAAAAATGGCCGGTGCAGAATAGTTTTCAACCAACTTTAATATGAATATCACATTTAAGTGCAGAAAAGATACATTTAAAATCCTACCGGGTCATTTTCTTTAATAATGTCTACAATTAAAATAATCTGAAAGTGAATTTGAGTGAAGTTTTACGATTTTACTAAGAAGTAGCTGCTTCCCGTTTTGGAAACACTGTTTCTTGATCAGGCATATAGCATAATATTCACCATAAAATGTTACCGTTTGGAAAGTTTTATTCTTTAAGTTAGCGCGTTCTATTCTGGAATTCTTTCGTGCTGATTGAGATTGCTTGGGACAACACCAACAAATAAAGTTGTATGTGCAACAAATCAACATGTGAGTCATGTCGTGAATGCTTTGGAGTCTGGTGTGTCTAGCAGTTCAGATACAAATGATAGCACCATAGGTGGTGTCTTCTCAAATTTTGTAAAAACGAATATTCGAATATATTCGAATATGGAAAAACAAATATTCGAACATCAACTTTCTTATTCATACCCGGTCCTAGTTATTTTTATTATGCCCTACTTCGAAGAAGAGAGGGTATATTAACTTGCTAATGTCCACACAATATCTGTATGACTATAAATTGTATACAATTTTATGTTGAATAAAATATATGCTATGTTATGTTACATTAATGTTGGTCCGTCAGTCCATCATTAGACCTCAGTTGTTATCTTAAAAACTATTTAACACAGAGTCTTCATATTTTACATACTAACTGGTCATAACTATAGTAGATGACATCTATTGATTTCAGGGTCACTATGTCAAAGGTCAAGGTCACAGGGACCCTAAATGTCAGAATGGTTTCCGCTCATTATCTCTCACAAAGTCTTCATATTTCCAAATTAATTAGTCATATGTAGTAGATGACTCCTATGATTTTGTGGTCACTATATCAAAAGTCAAGGTCACAGGGACCTGAAATGTCAGAATGGTTTAAGCTCATTATCTTGAAAACTATCACTAAGTCATTATATTTCACATATTGATTATTGTCGTTACTAGTAGATGACCCTATCGATTTGGGGGTCTTTAGGTCAATGGTCAAGGTCACATTGACCTTAAGTATGTTTGTTAATCCGTCGTTAGACCACATTGTTTCTGCTGATTATTTTAAAAACTATTTATCAAAAAATCTTCATATTTCATGTATTGATTGGTCATAACTATTAGATAACCTATATTGATTTTGGGGTAACTAGCTTAAAGGTCACAGTTACAGGTGTTTTAAATTTCGGAATGGTTTCTGCTCATTATCTTTTCACTTGCCCCTCACCGCTGTGGGTTCGAATCCCGACAGGGACTTTGGATTCTTTCATGTGAGGAAGCTATCCAGCTAGCTTACGGAACGTCGGTGGTTCTACTCAGGTGCCCGTTTGTGCCTGAAATAATGCACGGAAGGGCACCTGAGGTCTTCCTCCACCAGTAAAGCTGGAACGTCGCGATATGACCTATACTGTGTCGATGTGACGTAAAACCCAAACAAACAAACATTTAACATTATTTTTTTATTAGAAGTTTTCATATTTTACATATTGATTGGTCATAACTAGAAGATGACCCTTTTTGATTTTGGAGTCGCTAGGTCAAAGGTCACGTTGCTTTAATGTCAAAATTGTTTCCGCACTATATCTTGAAAAGTATTTATCACAAAGTTTTCCTATTTCATGTGTTGATTAGTCATATGTGGTAGATGACCCTTATTGATTTTGGGGTCACCATTTTAAAGGTTACAGTGTCCTTAAATGTCAGAATGGTTTCCGTTCATTAGTTTGAAAACTATTAATTACTAAATCTTTTATATTTCACTTAATGATTGGTTATAATTAGTAGATGATCCTATCGATTTTGAAGTCTTTAGGTCAAAGGTCACAAGGCGTTACGTGTCAGAATGGTTTCTACGCATTATTTTCAAGTTATCAAGTTTTTATGTTTCACATTTTAATTGTTCATAACTAGTAGATGGCCCCTATTGATTTTGAGGTCACAGAGGACAAGGTCACAATAACCATGAATGTTCGAAGTAGATGCTCATATTTACATTTATATGATAATGTATATTTTATTCCAGCTACTCTCCATTTTGTTTAACTTATAGATTTCATTCAATTTCAGATAGAAAGGGGGCATATATGTCATTATGATATTTCTTGTTTTATTTATTTATTTATCTTATATTTTATTCATTTTTTTTAAATTAGAGTGGCTTAAAGGGTGTGTTCTATATCTTCAGAAATATTTTAATAAAATTTATCCACAGCAAAATTATGCTGGTTCCATTATTATATGGTTGATTCCCGAAAAAAGTAATGTAACATAGAATGTCTCTGTTATTTAATACACATGAATCCTGTGCAAGAACACAATATTGTTTTGCTATTTTAAGTAGGGTTTTATCAGTTTAGCAATGATTTTGTTCTTGCGCCATTCGCGTTTAAGGCAATAAATTACCATATTTATTTCTTACAATCATTTTGGAAGTATATGTATACTTTTTTAAAATTCAAACAATAATTTTATCATCAGATATATAGCTTTATACACTTTAAGTTTCAGAAAACAGAAATATGACACGGTCACTACAAACACATGTAGTATGCAAACACGTCTTGAGCTATAGCCAAAAAATAATATTTTATTGAGCTCTAGTCAACATTTAATTTAACTTAATTATTTGAGCTGCATGGTAATTATTTTGAAAAATTACTCTCTGTGAAATGTTGTTCAACATGTGCTATACAATCTTAACAATATGAAACTTTTGTAATATAATGATGATTTTTGTACTGTCCGTCAAGTATAGCTTATGTGTTGATAGATATTATTACGCCTAACAAGGACATAAGCTTCGCCAGATATATTCCACTCATCGTAATTGAATTATTGCCACATGTCTTTTAAACTGGCCAGGCTTAGCAATTTCTAATCATCAAGGCCAGGTACTACTACAAATATAAGGTACTTCCAGATTGGGAAGCAGTGTATCTTAAACTTTTAATGATGAATATTTTGCTCGATGCCTGATCAGGAAGCAACGTTCCCAAAACGGGAAGTGGCTAGTTTTTGGTAAAATGTAAAAACTTTACTTTAATTCACTTTCAGATTATTTTAATTGTAGACATTTTAAAAGAAAATGACTCGGTAGGATTTTAGATGTATCTTTTCTGATTAAAAGTGTGATATTCATATTGAAGTGGATTGAAAACTGTTATGCACCGGCCATTTTTCTTGAACTACGTAAAAAAGGCCAAAAAAACTTCCCGATCGGGAAGGATTTTGACGTTTGTTGCCTGATCGGGAAGCCTTGAAGGGGAAACCCCTTGTTTCCCGATCAGGAAGTATGCCCGACTGGTAACGAGAAGTTAGCACTGACATCGAAGATCGCAATTCACTGGTCAGTGCTAACTTAATGTTACTGAATTAGACTGATATTCATTATATCACGCTGCCTTGTACATTTCAGTATCAATACTGTTATTATGAACTTGAACTTAAACTTTAACATTTCTACCTATCTTGTGATAATTTATGATTTCAGGCATTGAATATATTTTTTTATATTTTAGAAGAAGAAGCAGTGTAATAAAACACAATGGATATAAAAACCATTAGCTTTTTATATTTGACATAGATATATCTAAAGAAGATTGTGTAACAACTTTATATGATACTAAAACATCTTTCTTGAAATGTTATAATATTCTTTAGCATTTTACTTTTTTTCAGGTTTGGCTTGGAGCTTACAAAACACACTAATGTACGTAATGCTTTTAAGTGGGAAAGACAAAACTTTGTAAGCAATGGCTTCATATAGCCCTAAACTGTTAGAAAAGAAATACAATAACTGGGTTAAAGCTCAGTTAGCTGTGTTGTTTACTAAAGAAGGAGTTGAACCTTTTGTTTGTAATGAAATCCAACACTTTCAATTAAAATGTTTACATGATATATGTTACCTAAATGGCTTACCAAGTGGGACTTGTTGTTCAGGTTGTTATACGGAAAATCTTGTAAAGTGTCCTACAGCTAGATTATGTAATGTTGGGCGTGGGAAATCGTGCAGTTATCATCGAAATGTCACAACACAGTACAATTCTTCTGGCTGTCCAAACAAGATTTGTCATAAGTTCAAAACTGAAATACAGAATGCACATAGATACAACGGTCCGTCGTACAAAAACACAGATGCTACCAAGTGGTGCAGTAATTCCTGGGAAGTTGCTAAATGCTTTATGCCCCCAGATGGGTATAAAGACAAGGCATCTGCAACAGAAACAGACTTCAATGGGATAATCAGCGTTATCCTAAATCACAAAGACTTCCAGGGAAAAGTACAGGAAAACCTCAATAATAAGATAAACATATTTGAAGAGGTAAACAATATTTCGATACTATTTTATAATGAATTATAAAGACTTATGTTTAGTGCTTTGTTATAAAACAAAAGTTTAATAAATTTTAAGGATCTAATGAATTTAACAATACGGTTTGATATCCATAATAATAAATTGACATTTTATCATGCTTTCTGGAATTATACTAGTAAGGAAAGAATTTTACTATTATTTTACAGTATGCTAGTTTACAGTATATTACTGGGTATAAAGCTAAATTTTGCTGCAAAACGAATGTTATTTAAATGCCTGTATGACAGAAATATGCATTTTCCTTAAAAGTGAATGGTCCGTGTACGAAAACATTGCTACATAGTTGAAGCTACATGCTTCAAGATGAGCCAAAAAATATTTTTCAAGACTATCAACATGTTATGTGGGATAAATAAACTGATTTTGCAGTATTTTTATCACATTTCTTTTGCGTGACTAACGTATTTTTTTAAAATTATAATGTCAAATAGCATGAATCTGGAGGCATGCGGCTTTAAATATGTATTTTTGACATTCGCATTATATTTTTTCCGGGACACTTAATTATTTCTTTTTACGAACAATATTAATGTGTGTTAAATAACAAAGACATGAAATATTCATCTCTATTAAAAAATCAACATTTTTATAAAGGATATAATGTTATTTTATTGTTAATAAATTTTATGATAATTTATTAGATAAAGCTTTATATCATATAGATGTTTTAGATAAAATCAAATAAGAATTGTTATTCTATTTTGACCAGGCAAGAGAAATTGGAAGACATGTTCGCCATTCATCAAAACTTGAAGTGGAAGATCCAGATCTTCAGAAATATTTCAAAATACTACAGCATCTACTTTCTGACCCCGTGTATTTAGCTACTAACACGCATGCGCAGAATGCAAAACAGAAACTTATACAGGTGATTAAACTAATTTATTACTTAACACGTTACATATTTTGTTGTATCACTAGAACACGGTGCATTTCGTAAAAGTATACAAATCTTATCAGATAATCTTTATTGAAATTTTGAACAAATCAAGTTGTTTCCATGATGGAAAAATACTGTTACCCTTAAGTTATGGTCGATTCTCAAAAGCGTTACATAGATTGTCTGTTGTTTGCTGAATACGAATATTGTGCGTAAACATAATAAAATGTACTAAAACTATACAAGCAAATCTTTTTTTCATAATGAACTTTTATAACGTTCAAAACGCCCTCCGACAGATACAAAATAAAATAAGAAAATTCAATTAAATACACGGCGATAATTCTTCTATGCCGAAGCTTTTTCTAATTTTCAAAACGTTTTGTTTGTAACCCTGGTTACGCTCTTGTGACTAATATTACGCGACATAGGAACAAACAATTATTTTGTTTACTGAAAAATGGCAATATTTTGTTTTGTACATTTTAAACTATCATAACTTTGATCAGCATACAATTTACAAATCAGTAATGACAAACATTGCATACGTACTTGTTACAAATAATTACTGAAGATGCAATATATCTTTGAAACGTATGATTAACATATATTAAATTCTGATGTATTAGTATATTTATTGATATTGTATGGTCTTTATAATTACAGTTGGAAAATGACACTCTTGTCATTGGTAAAGATGATATAAGGAAAGTACTAGATGATGTGGCAACAGCACTTCAAGACAAGATGAAGGCTGGGTTAGATGATCAATATGACAAAATTAAACAAGAAATGATTAGAAAAAAACAAGAAGATCTTCTATCTCTTGAGTCTCAAACTGCAAAGGGAATTATACAGATACAAGATAAGGCTGAAGCTGCTTTGAAAAGATTAAATGACGAAGGGGACAAAGAAGTTGATATGATGCAAAAAGAAGGAGATAAAAAACGAAAAGATCTGACAGAATTAGGAGAGACGTTACAAAAGAAACTGAAAACAGCAACTAAAGCCGAGAAAGAAGAACAATATATTGATTCTAAACAAAGTAAGTGATAAAACAATTTATCTCATGACATCATTTCTTTTTCATGTGCTATAACTATCACGATTATTTTGTAGATTATTTTGTACGTAGCACCTGATTAAATATATCCATTGAACCTCCAGGTTTACACCGCATGATTTTCTAAAATCATCCTTTCATTATTCTGAATAGTCTGTATCAAATGCTCATTGTACTCCATCTAGCCTCGCTTTTATTTTGCAAGTCCAAATCAAACCCATATTAAATCCATTTTACACCGTCTAGCCTCGTTTTCATTTTCCGAATCCAAATGTCCAGATCAAGTTCATATTGTACTCAAAGTGACTGCATCTGTAATTTACCATTTTTATAATGCTTAAACAGCTAAAACGTTGATTTTATGTGTTATCTTTAAAGCAGCAGGCATCCAGAAGATAACAGAAAAAAACTACCGTTTTACTAATGTTTCGAAATCCCTCCTCAAAAACATTATAAAATTGAAAGAAATCGAAACGACACTTCATAATGTTCAAGTTTTAACATTATTGCTCTAAAAACAAACAGTTCGCGTATTGCTCCAACGGGAAATACCTTCTTTTAATATGCCTCTGAATTCTTTCATCCGGGTTTTTTTCTAGTACCATGTGGTTGTACAGGACAAAATAAGGACCTGTGATCCGGAACGAATGAAATCTGGAATCGTTTCAATCATAGAGTGAAAAGAATAACTGTTTTTGTTTTGATCTTTGTAGTAACTTTGACACTAAAAGTTATAATAATTGATAAGTTATATCATATGCATGATGGCCAATTTATCGATTTAAACTGTAGCTTGAAATATGATAGGGGCCTACTCAATGAACACAATTGAAATACGACCCAGGGATACCGGGATTTTTACGGACCACTGTTGTTACCTGTACCAAAGTTAAATGAATAATCTACTCCTATTTATCAGTTTTTATTAGATAATCCATCAGTAACGCAAAGGAAAACACGATATATTGACTCTTTTGTGAACATTCCTTCTTGAATTAAGATGTCAGTGATAATGGATTTACACATTAAACCTAACTATAGTCTGTCCCGTTAAAAAATGAAAATGAACATTTGACTGGTATGAATGAACAAAACGACGTTGAAAAAATAAATTAAAAACTTTTTGTTAACTAAAAAAGTAACCCTCGCAATTTTTCAGGATTTTTCTCTAAAGTGTCTACTTTTCTTGTAAAAGCAAATTTTCATTTCTCTACGGCAAGTCTCTGATGTTTATTTTCCGTACCCATTGCCGAAGTACTCTTTAATCGAAGATGGACGGGAGAAAGCACGTGTCATGTTTCTAAAATGTACATCATGTTCTCGGGGTCGATTCATGATTATTTTACAAAGCTGGGTCTACAAGATGTAACAGTTTCATTGCAATGGTTGACCGAAAACTGAAAAATAAGATGAATAATAAGCAAGAACATCGAGTCACATGGAGTAGATCTAGAAATTGCACTTACTTTTAAGCTGAAGAGAATCCTGAATTTCAAAATAGATCTTTATAAGCGTCACGACAAATTTGCATTCTGGAGATTCCTTCATTGCCAGTTTCTATCCAGTTCCGTAGATCCCATTTTTTTTACTCTAAAACTCCTGAATGGCATGACTTCCACACTTATATGATGATCCAGAATTTTTTATAAACTGTTAATCCGTCTCATTATTAAAACATTGTTCCATTTGTGCGTTTTCTGGATTAGCAAATGAAATATGCAAATGAAATACATCATAATTCAGTATGTTCCAAATCTATAATTTAAGAACGGCTCGTCAATTTTAGTTGTTCACATCACAATGTTCATAACTCTTGAAAATGGATTCCTGACGAAAAAGAAACATTACTACGTCAACAACATTTTACGAAATAAATGACGTAACAAAAATAAGATAGATAAGGATTAACAGTTTATTTGAAATTTTAATTCATTTTTAGCTCACCAGAACCGAAGGTTCAGGATCAAAGGGGGATAATCCGGCGTCCGTCGTCATGCGTCTTCTTCTCTGAAACCGATGGGCAGATTTACCTCAAATTTAGTCTGTTACATACTTGTGACAGTCACAGTTTAATTTGCTCATATCATTTCAATTGGCCCCTTTTATAAGTCAACAGAGCTAAAAAATAGAAAAATAGAAAAAAAAAGCATTTAAACATCTTCTACTACTAAATTAAATGATTGATGATAACCAAAGTTTGTCTCTAGCATTCTAAGGTAGTCTTGTATCCAATTTTAATTTAATTAGTCTTTTTTAGGGGTCACTAGAGGTAAAAATAGAAAAAAAACTTTAGACAACTTTTTCTACAGATCTAATTGATGATCACCAAACTTTGTCTGTAGCATTCTTATGTAGTATTTTACCAAGTTTGCTCATATAAATTTGATTGACCCCTTTTAGAGGCCGCTAAAGCTAAAAATAAAAATACCTTTAAACGTCTCCTTCTACAGAACAAAGAATTGGCATGGATGCGTACTTGACAACATATTACAACTTTTAAAGTCAGTGGTTTCAAAAATTAAAAAAAAAATGTTTCACTGTTATATTATTAAATGTAACGTTAGTGGTGGGGTTTCTTTGCCTTTAAACACTCAATGAGGTTTAAAAGTTTATTCTATCAAGAATAAAACCTGCAATAAATAAAATAACAATAAGACATCACATTACAGAACAAATATTTTACAAGACAAATATATTTCACAAAATACATAATACAGAATAGTACACAACAATTCAAATTACAATAAAAACAATTTCACAAATAAATATATATACAAATATACATACCAGGCTTGTAATATAAATCTAATGAAATAATAGAAATAAGAATCAAGTATTTCTATAAAGAAATTACTGAAAGTTAAAAGCGAGACAAGGAGTGGTCAGTTACCAAGAAAATATTATATTCCAGAACCAAATCATCTAAAAATAACTTGCATACCAAAACCAATCATCCATCACTCTACTTGCAAAACCAGTTCAATCACCCATAACAAAATGACCCATGACAAGTACATCGTAACCTGGTATTTACGCTTGAAATACATCAGCAAAGAGATCAAACGGGTCGAACACACATGCAAACAATTGGATTTTACATACTTTTAAATGGTTTTATTCTCCCAAGTGACACTAAGTCCTATGTGCCCGTATTTTAAGAAAGATTCTACATGTATAAGGTAATTCCTAAATCGGAAGTTTTCTCCCGCAACAAGTGCTTGGTTTAAACATATTTTATTCTTCACATAAGCATATTTACATGCATGATATTTACAATCAAAACAAGAAAAGGATTAGACTGGAAGCAACCTAATGCTTATTGAAGTCTTTTCCCAATGTACAATAAATATATGTGCTAAATAAGGCGAAATAAATTGTCGTTTGTTGACTTAGAAGGCTGATGTGTTACAACTTGCATCGAAAATGAATAAATAAATATAAGATTTATCAATTATTTAAAGAAAAGCAAAATAAGACTAATAATGATAATCAGTTCAGATAGAAAGAAGAATGAGATAGAAAAAGAAGGAGAAAAAAAAGAACAGAAAAAAATGACCTGTGATTTAACCCTTAATGATAGTTGAAAATTGTTGGAGAGTCAAAGCGATTCGATTTTTCAATATATTTATGAACTGCAAGGAATATTTTCTCATTATCTGAGTCTGTAAGCGTCGTGTTACCAAACAGGATGGTTTTTAGTGAAACATGACAGTATGTGCTTATACAGTTTATCAACTGAGGTCTTATGTTTTTATAAAGAGGACAGTCGAGAAAAAAATGACGAGTTGTTTCCCTTTGTCCACAGTCGCAAAGAGGCGAAGGTATGATATTCTTAGAAAAAAGGTCTTCAGCCAATGAGCTACAGTTGGTCCTCAGACGTGTGTGGAAAATCTGGAGTTTTCTTTTGCCATAGTAAAAATATTTCGGTGGCTTTTGAATGTTAGGAGATATACTCTGTTTAAATGACGATAATGTTGGAGAGTTGCGAACGTCACTTTGAAGACTATTAAAGGCTCGAGTTGTGGATGGCAGGAAGGAATTATGATATAGCGTGGTACGAGCTCTAGGAGCCCTGTAATAATTTTGATTTCGTAAGTTATATGATTGTTCATTGGTGGAAACTTGAAGCATTTCAGAAAGATAAGGAGGGGCAAGATTTTTGGTCATTTTATAAAAAAGAACAAGTTTGTGTTGGTTACGACGAGATTCAAGGGATTCCCACCCTACCTCGGACATAAGTTTGGCAGTTGACACAAGTTTGGTTGCACCCGTTACAATACGAGCTGCCTCGTACTGAACCTTTTCGATTGTTTCCTTCTCTTGAGATGTACAGTTATCAAAGTTAACATCACCGTATTCTAAAAGAGGACGAATGAAAGACGTATAAATTTTTTCCAGTGAATGACGATCAAGAATAAATTTCAACTTTCGCATAACATTGATACGCTTGTAGGCTTTCTCAATTATATAGTTTAAATGAACATTCCATCTGAGATCAGAAGAGAAGAATACACCAAGATGTTTATGATGAGTAACTTCTTGAATAGTCTCCCCATTCATCTCTAAGGGTGGATGGACTTGGTTGCCAGTTTTGCGAGTCAAGATAAGAGATTCTGTTTTTTTCGGGTTGAACTTTACCAACCAGGTTTTGGCCCAGTCGGAGATAGTAGAGAGATCAGAGTTAAGAGTGGTAGCAGCAGAGGTAGGATCATCTACAATTAGATATAGACTCGTGTCATCAGCAAATAGGCGAATATTAGCTTGTATATCGATAACAATGTCGTTTATATACGTTAAGAACAAAAGAGGTCCCAAAATAGATCCTTGAGGTACTCCTGCTTTAACAGTGTTCCATTTAGAATGTGCGCCAGGTATAACAACGCATTGCCTGCGGCCATGAAGATAGGATGAGAACCATGAAAGCAAGTTTCCATTAATGCCCATACATTTAAGTTTAAACAATAGGCCTTTATGCCACACCCTGTCAAATGCTTTACTAACATCACAGAATACGGCACGAACTTCCTTACCGGCGTCAATTGCTTCAGTAAAGAAATTGTACAAATATGTTAGCTGGTTTGTTGTTGAGTCACCAGGTATGAAGCCTGACTGCAAAGGTGTTAGAAGGTTGTTGGAGTGGAGGTAGTTGAAGGTGTTTTTGAAAACAATTCTTTCGAAAACTTTACCAATTGTAGAAAGAAGAGATATAGGGCGATAATTTCCAGGAATAGACCGGTCACCAGATTTGAATATAGGCGAGACAAACGCTTCTTTCCAACATATGGGAAATACCGAAGAACATAGGGATTCATTAAACAAATCAGCTAAAGGAGAAGAAAGCTCATTATACAACTCTGCAAGAATTCT